TCTAAGGCGAATGTAGAAAACTAAAAACAGGAACATGTCTGCATTTTTGAACTTGAATTGACTTGAATTGAAAAAAAGGGAATTCACACTTTTTAATGCACATTTTTGTGAGCTGAATTGAGTATAAAACATAATTGCCTTAATGAAGGATTAACTACATTTCTGGGTGGAGTTTTCATGTTCTCTCCGTACATACGTGGGTTTTCTTTGGGTACTCCGGTTTCCTCCCACAGACCAAAAACCTGTATGTTAGATTAACTGTTAACTAAACCATCTGTGGGACTGAGAGTATACATTTGTTTGTCCCTGTGTCTCTGTGATGGACTTGCAACTTGTCCAGGGTGTTCCTCGTCTCTTGCTGGACCTGGGCATCTATGACCTCCGCCAAACCTGGAAAGAGTAGTAACAATGGATGGATAATGCACTGTATATATTTTGTTGTTGGTATGCTCTAGATGCACGCATTACTTTTCGTTTAATTAGTGTGCATGAAATGCACACTATTGAGATTCTGTTTGTTCACCCGTACAACTTTTTGCCACTTAACTACTATTGCATACTTGTTTTTATTAGAAACGTTCAAACTTCTATCATTCAGAGCATTCAGAAGATGATTACTATGATATATGGTCTTGTGCCAACCATGCTTTTTAAAAAATATTAAGCTTTATTTAAACTCGATTAGGATATGATGGGAGTATTTCAACAACTTGGATTTGATCCAACACTGCCCCCTTATGAGAACTTTCCAGTGGAAGTTCTGCTGACTCAGAGACTCCTTTAAACAGTCCACGAAGGTCCAGTGATCGTAAAACAACATGTTATTCCTTCCAGCATTATAAGAGTTATAGAGGTTTAGTTGTTATGCAAATGAGCCTCCTCCAGTGCAAACACAGCGTACAGACTCAAAGTTTAACATTATAAAACAAAGAGATATCAGACTGGAAGAAGCACTACTACTAGAGCTACTACTAGTAGTAGAACTATTAGAATAACAATGGTATTTTTAATAGCTCACCCATTTTGAGGCTGTCACTACAGAATTCA